GGGCTCGGGGCTCATCATGCAGGTGAGCTCACGGGCCAACCGTGGTGGTTTTGTCTCTCCATCTCGGGTCGCGGAGTCCTAGCCGAGCAATGTGAGCCTTTCTGGGGCCTTCAGGGCGCGGGGAAACCATTCTGTGCTTTCCTCTCTCCACGTCCCCACTGAATGTCACAGGGCTCAGGGGAAAGGGCGGGGCTTTTGGAGACAGACAGCCCCAGGGTTTCACCCCAGCTTCCAAAAGTCACATGGCTGGTAAGTGGCCGACCAAGGGATGGAACAGCCTGGCTGTAAGCCCAGGCCCTCAAAGCTATGCCATGCTGCTTCCTTGCAGGACATCATCCCAGAGAGTGCTGACCCCTCAGCTGTGAGCCCGGCACACGCCGTCTGGCACACTGTCGTCGTCGCAGAAGAGGGGAGTGGAAGAATTGGGGGGTGAATGGGTCGATGGGTGGAGGCAATGAATGGAAATGTGAGAGTGGATGGACAGATGGTGGAAGGGTGATGGGTGAGTGGGTGGGTGGGTGGGTAAGCAGTGGGTGTATGGGGGGACCGATGGCTGAGCACATAGTGAAGGAATGAAATGGATAGGTTACTGGTGGGTGAACGAGTAGACGGATGAAGGTGGTGAACGTGTATATATATCGATATATGTGTGCAGGATGAGTGGATGAGAGAAACGGACGGGTAGGTAGATATGTGAATTGTTGGAAAGTAGGAAAGGAATACGTAGGTCGATAGTATGTGGGGTGGACAGATGGCGTTGGCTATATGATTGGATGCATGGGATGGATGGATAGATGGGAGATGGATGAGTGGGTGGTGGTGAGTGGGCGTATGGGTTACTAGAGGGTGTAGAGGGGATCAGCGAATCAGCGGGTGGGTGGATAGTGAATAGATGAAATGGATAAATGGATAGGTGAATAGATGGATAATTGGGTAGATGAGGAGTAGAAGGGTGGATGGATAGATGTATTGATGGATGAGTGATGATGAACGGACAAGGTAGATAGATGGATGGGTGTGTGTATGGGGTGTGAATGTGTAGATGGGTGGTCGTATGGGAGTGGATTGGTGGATGGATGGATGGATGGATGGATGGAGTAAATGAATGGGCAGATGGGTACATTAATGGATAGATGGACAGGCAGATAGAAAATGGTGGGCGGGAGGATGTATTTCTGGATGAGTGGCTGGCGGATGGATGATGAATGATTGGCAGGTGCGTGGGAGCGCAGGTACAGTAGGGAGAATGCAGGCTTTGGAGCCTCCCAGAACTAGATTAGAATCCCAGCTCTGCAGGCTGTAGGCGGATGGGTGCATGCCCAGAGACGGGCCCTCCTTGATTCTGCCTCCTTGGCTCACACTGAGCCTGGTGGTAAGTTGCGAGGGGCATGACCCATCCCTCGTTTAGTGACTGCTCTAGGCCTCCAGTCCTCATCGTCCCTGCATTCTACATATGCTGGGGAGACTCGAAACAGCTGCTTCTCTTATGACAGCTCCAGCCTAAAGGGGGAGCCCAGCTGCCTGCAGTGTCGGTTCCAGAGAGGACTCTGGTCTACACCGCAGTGTTCATTTGCACTCTCAGTGCCTTAGCTCACCGGTGTCCCCGCATTTCAATTCTTCTCCCTCCAGCTACCTGTAGTCCATACTAATTCTTAAAGTCTAGTTCAAATGCTGCCTCCTGCAGGAAGCCTTCTCTGATTCACAAGAGATTTCAGAGTCCTCTCCCTCGTCTGGGCTCCTTCGTCGCTGTGCTCCATGTTTTATGCAGCTTTTGAAGGTTTATCTCGTGTTATCATAGAGAGTACAGGGGTTTAGAGACGGGAGTGCTGCTTCTCAAAATAACCGTATTTGGGTACGTGTGCTATTTTAAAATTCAAAATCCCAGCTTTGGGGCATTTAAAAGAAAATCTTAATGGGCTTCATCTTTGTCTTGCAATAGACAGAAGATCGTGCAGCATCACGATCGTGAACCCAACAGTGACGTCCCTACTCATTGGAGTTTTCCCTTAGTCTTCATCTGATTCTCCTCCAGAGGAGCCCGGCTCGTAGAACGGAGGGGAAGGGAGAGAAGGGACGGGAAGAAAGGGTCTCAGGCGACTCCCAGCCTTGCCCAGGGGCTCCGGCCACCGCCTCCCTTCCCGCTGCATTCTCCCCCCCTCCCCCACACTGCTCACCTTTCCCAGCTGTCCTGCCTGAGAGCTGCAAACCTCAGGGGCAGAGGGACTGCACACCTGTCCTGGTCCCTGCGGGCGGGCAAAGGGCAGGCGGCCGCAGCCCCAAGTTCACGGTCTTATAAGATACAGTGTCGCTGCTGGTATTTCAGTGTCACCTGAGGACCCGCTCAAGTAGCCACGCTGTCACAAACACCGAGACAGGGACCATGACTGCTCCGCCCGCAGCAGGTGGCTGCTCCATCAGCGGGCACTCGGTACGGATGCACGGACGAGTACCGTGTGGGGCTCAGCACCTTTACCGACTGCGTGGGCGCAGGGACGGAGCGTGAGGTGGGCCTCATCTCCATCTTACAGTGAGAGAAACGGAGGCGTTGTATGGTCAGTAACTCACCTGAGTACACCTGAGCCAGGCTTCGACCTATGACCTCAGGCCCACCTGGCTCCAGAGCACAGCATTCTGGACCCCCAGTGGTCGTGCTTCCCCAGGCCGGGGAAGGTGTGGGCTAAGGGCTCCTTAGTCGCTGTGCTTGCCCAGGCGTGCCCTGGACATCTCACTGCCCGCCACCCCCGTGTCACTAACTGGTAACTCAGGTCTGTTCTGTGCTCGTTCGCAGGCTGAGGAGACAGCAAGGGCAGAGCGGCCGACTCCTGGACACCGAGGGCCATGCTGGGGGACAGGCCCGCGGCCAGCTGCAGGACGGGAGTAACAACAACGTCCTCGCCCACGCCTGCTCCCACGGCTGCACCAGCTAAGCCACCCCATGTGGCTGCAGACCCGGACTGCACACACCTTCGCCCTGCCCTCTGAAGTCCTCCTGCGTGCCACAACTGTCCCTGTCTCCCAGCCCCCCCCCCGCCCCGACACCATCAGATGCAGGAACAGCCCTGGGCTCAGAGCCGGGGAACCTGGGCTCCGGCCTCAGCTGCCAAAATGATCCCGACGCGACCTTGGACAAGCCTCGCCCGCCTTCCTGTGCCTCGGTATTCTGCGTCTGCCAAAGGGGCACGCAGCCCTCTGCCGCCCTCTGCAAGGCTCTTGGGGGACTCCAGTAACCTCGCGAGAACTTCGACACTCGTAAAGTTGTTTACACGGGCGAACTGTAACCCGACGTCGAGAGAGGGCTCCCGCCCCCGAAGCCAGTGGATGGCCACGACTTCGCTGTGCGGTCCTCTTGGCTCCTTAGTGCTTTTGAAGACGCAGCTCAGAGATAAAATAAACACCTGATGTGTTTGTCCCGCCCACGGAAACACTGTTCCCCAATCGTGGAGCAAAACCAGAAGCATCTTCATTTGCATTTCCTGCCAGGCCAGTCCTTCCAACCCTCTAAGACTGCGTGGCCTGCACACCAGCCCGGTCCCCAAGGTCTCCCTGCTGCAGACGCTCTCCCTGCCAGCCCCAGAGGACTGCTTCACCCGTTTTTAATTTCGGCAGGTCCCCACCACACCCCAGCCCTGCTGGCAGGTAGCTGCGCATTCAGAAGTCAAGTTGCCGACCTCGGTCACTGCCATAGGGTGTCGTCAGAGTTCCCAAAACGCAGTCCCACAGCAGACCTCTGACCCTCCGCCCCCTTCCAGGATCTTTCCTGGGGAGGTTATAACATTGTCTCATCAGGATTGTCTACAAGGGTTCCTAGCTGTCATTGACGGTTGGTCCACATCGACGGATTCGGAAGCACGGGTCATTATGGAATGCCTTCTCTGGGAGGACAGTGGGCTCACACGCAAAACAGACCCCTTTGTGCTCTGCTCGGGAGCGGCTCGTCTCGGGAGACGCTGTGGCGGGCCCAACGTGGAGGTAAAGCTCAGCCTCGGAGTCAGGCCGATGTCAGAAGCCAGCCTGCTGTTTACTTACCAGAAGTCCTTAGGAGAATCCCGTAATCACCTGCGTGTCAGTTCCCTCGTTGACAAATGAGGTAATAAAACTCAGCCTGCAGGTGGTGACAGGGCGAACTGAGATCCCGTGTGTATTGCGCCCAGCTCATGCCAGCCACTGAATGGTACCACTTTTCGTCAGCAGCAGCAGCAGCAGCATTTGGAGAAAGTGTCCTGTGTCACCCACTAGGCCGATCTGTTTTTTGCAGAAATGAGCCCGGCGTTCAGGATTCTCCAAACTTCCTGGTGTCTTCAACATCTGGACACCCCTGTGTTGTTCAATTGTGTTTTTATTTTCTCATCCAGTTTTCACTTTTCACATTGTAAATCAATCCTCGGGGCCGTCAGCGTCATCTCTTAGACTTCTCAAGAGACATTTTAATGTATGGCATGGTTTTATATGTTCATTTTTTTTAACGTTCATTGTTGTCCACCTCTGACCCAGCACTATTTCTAGATGGCGTTACTCACGGAGCCTGTTGGCTTACACGCTTTTCATTTTCACTCCCCATTGGCACTGTGCTGTCCTGTTTAGGAATAACCTGTCTCCTCTCTTCACTGTGACCCTAGGAGCGCTTACGATTTCTCGGTGGGCAGAGTTCATGAATTAGGGGGCAGGAGAGTCGCTGGGTTTCCTGGCTCTGTTCAAGTTGGCATTGTTCCTTGTTGAGAATAAACTATTTCTTGGACATTTCTTCCTACAACTTTGTTCTTATTCAGGGTTGAGCAGGATGGGGAATGTCCTCTTAGAGGCAAGACCTCAAGTTCAATGACACACAGATGAGGGGTGGAGGTGGGGTTACCAAGGCAGCGATGCCTTTACTCGCAGCATAAAGCCAAACTTGATCATGATTTGCATTATTACTATCATTATCATTATTACTATCATCATCATCATCACCACCATTATTTTACACTTATAAAGATGTAATCTACAATCTACACACTAGGGAAAAATACAGAAAATTCTCCACCTAAAAAAAATACTCTTAAAATTTCCTCCAATTATGGGTCAAACCTCGACGCAGCAGCCTGGTGTGAACGAAGCAGCATCCGAATCACTTTCCGCGCTCACCTCTACATGTCAGAATCGTCTTTCCCGAGGAGCCATTCCACCTTTCCCTGGATGCCTCTGGGCCTCCTGGCAGCACCAACCCAAGCCAGGTGTAATGTCCACAGCTCCGTACCGCATCTCCTGTAACTTTCTCAACAGCACGGGAGGGTTCTTTGGCCCACGGCTCATCCTCCTCGCCTCCAGGCTACTGGGAAGGACAAATTCTCTCCTGTCTGTCTCCTCGTCCTCCCACCCTCCGCCTTCCTGTCCTGGCTCCTAAGAGGGACTCAGTAACCTCAATGACCTCATGTCATTTGAAGGCATGAGACAGTAGTGAGCCCAGCACAGATTCTCGGGATGGGCGAAGCTTGCTTTGGGTGGTCCCACTGCCGGTCCCCAAGGCTTTGTTCTCTCCTGGTCCCAGGGCTGTCCCGGAGGCTGCACCAGTGTAGGGGGCCCAGTCCTCACCCCCTCTTCAGAGCACTCTCTCCTGAGTCCCAAGTTCCACATGAGTTTTCCCTTCTCCCTCATCCCAAACCCCATTCTCGGAGGACAGAGCCCCCCCCGTCCAGTATTGGTGGGAAAGCAATCTGATTAAAGAAATACATACCCAAGCAAGAATTTGAGTAGGATTCACCCTATGATTTAAAATTCAGGCTCAGTCTACAGCCATGCCACCCTGGACGTGCCCAATCTCGTCTGGTCTCGGAAGCTAAGCAGGATCGGGCCTGGTTAGTACTTGGATGGGAGACCACATAGGAAGACCGGATGCTGTAGGCGTTTAAAAAAATAAAATAGAATATAAAATAAAATTCAGACGCAGTTGGGCAAGCTATAGACTGGTGGCATCAACAGAGCCTCCACTGAAATATAGCTCAGGCTTCTCATGCCGGTATGTAAAAACGGGTCATATTTAGAGTATTAGTGAACCCAAAGCTGGGTGCTCTGAATTCTTTCCCATTCACCAGCAAATACTGCAGCATCTGGTCCAGAATCCCCTTCCCCAAATTTGCCTGAGCAACCACAGTGTCCCTTCCGGTTAGCCAAGAGGCCCCGCCCCCGGCAGGGGAAGGGGAAGCCCCTGCAGAGACTGCCTGCTGAGGGCCCTTGTCACTCTTCTGCATGTTGACCATCATGGCCCCTGGCCACCCACTGGCCTTGACCCTCACTCCAGGCTTCTGCTAGGACGACCTCCACCCCTTTACTCTCTCCAGCCAGTAGGGACACAGCTCCCACTTGTTAAAATCCTCCCTTTTAAAGCTGGTTCCGACCCAGGGCCTTGGGCCGTGGCTGTCCAGTTCTTTCCTTGATGCTGCCTCCCTCGCCTTCTCAAAGCACCTGAGTGTGAGCTGGGGCTCCCTGGAGGGTCCCATTCAGTGTCACACTGGCCCTGGGGGCCCTGCCTCCTGATGCTCCCAGCCCCCTGCCAGGGCTCACCTGTCAGCGTCCTTGACGGACCCCCTCTGTCTGACACATCTGCACTGTCTACACTCCAACCACAGACTGGGCCCCTTCCCTCTCCAGGGTCCTCAGCCCAGACACAAGTCAGCCCGTGAGGCAGACAGTGACTTCCACATCCCCAGATCTCCAGGGATGGCTAGGGCCCTGCTCCCACTGGGCACAATGGGCCTCTCTGGAGTGGACACAAGCTAACCCGTCTGGGGTCAGCCCAGCAAGAGCTGGCTTCCTGTGTGGTCCGCGGCAAGTCCCCACCCCTCCAAGCATCAGTTTCTGCATCTGCCACCTGGGCCTGGGAATTGTCACTCTGCCTTTTCCAAGTGCCATTTACAAAGGTCAGCACTGGGGCTCAAGTGAGGGCACGTGTTAACTCACAGAGCTTTGTGCAAAGCGAACGTGCTTCCCAAAGGAGAAACCATTTTCTATTTTTTCAATTAAATTTTGTAATTAAATGTATCGAGGTAGAGATGGTTAATAACAATATACAAGTCTCAGGTGTACAACTTTATAAGACAACATCTGTGTACCCCACTGTGTGCTCACCACCCAATCTAGTGTCCTTCATCACCATATATTTGACCCCCTTGACGTCACCTTCCTGTGATGCCACTGGAGCCCCGGGGGGCAGCGCCCGGGCCTGCCCCTCCCCCAAGAGTCCCAAGAGGGGTCTTGGGAACCTTGCACCACTCAGCCTGCTGGTTATATGGGGCGTCTCTGGTTTATAGATGACAGAAGTGGAACCACTATACACGGCAGTGACATCTGCGGATGCCGCGGGAAACATCCTTGCATGCAGCAGATTGCGATGCAGCGGGTCTGGGATGGGGCCTGAGATCCTGCATTTCAAACGAGCTTCCAGGGCATGCTGATCATCTGGGCCAGGGAGCACACTTGGAATAACAAGGATCTAGAACCGTCTGCCCTCAGGCCGACCTGGCCATGCCCATGTCTTCCCGTCTCCACAGCTCCGTTCACACAGCCGCAAAGGCAGGAGGTTCCGACAGAGACCGTATGGTCTGCAAGGCTGAAAATATTTACCATGCGGCCCTTTACAGAAAAAGCGTGCTCACCTCTGATGCAGAAGACACATCTGGGACATGAAGTGGGCGTGAGGTTGAAGACACACCAGTGCCCTGCTCACCGGCGATTCAGCCCCACGAGGTCCCCGTGGGGAAGGATCTGCAGAGAAATCCATGGACCGTTTCGCCCTCGTGGGTTGACTGTTGGGCTTTTTCCCAACTGTGGACCCTTGTCAATAACCCCTTCCCAGGCGGGTATCCCCGAAAGTCACCCACTGCGTGTCTTCTTCCTCCCAGTGCCACCAGGTCCTCCCAGCAGCCCTCTGGGTAGCGGGCCTGCTTTGTGGGGTTTAATTTCTGCAGCACTTACCACACTGGA